GGGGGGGGGCGGGCGAGGGGGTGAGGGGGGTGCGTGGCAGCAGGCGAGGCGGGCGTGTGTGTCTCATCATGCTACAGTCCCCCAAGAGTCCCCCCCTCCCACCGACCCACCCACTAGCTGATGGGCATGTGGCGCGGGTGGGTAGGTCTCTCACTCCACCAGGGCCTCAAGGGAGGCGGGGTCCGAGACGGTGCTCATCTGGAACTCAGGCTGGTGTTCCGGCTTGTGGCAGTCAATTCTGGGGACAGGAAGGAAACGCACACAGGGTTTCAATTATTCGGATCATTTTAGGGTTTTCTGGGGGTTTTTTGCGTAAGCGTTTTATGGAGCTCGCAACTGCATAAGATTATATGAGTGTGCTTTCAGATATTGCTGGTGGTCCGGCTTGTGGCAGTTGATTCTGCGGACAGGAAGGAAATGTACACGGGGGGGGGGTGTTCAATGCTTCAGATCATTTTTGGGTTTTTTTGGGGTTTTTTGAGTAAGCGTTTTATGGCGCTCGCAGCTGCATAAGGTTATATGAGTGTGCTTTAAGATATTTGGACTTTTGGGTAAAGTGAAGCACATTGAATAATGACCGCCACTTAGTGAATTATAAAAGTTTATGATCATAATTGTTTTGAGTAAATAATAATAATAAAAAAATAATGACAAATGATAATAATAATAACAATAATAATGATGATAATAATGATAATATTACTACTAATAATACTAATATTGATAATAATTACATATATAGAAAGTGAATATCCACCCTCCACAAGATGGTCTACGCGCTTCACAAATACTAGTGAAGAGAGCACATCTTGAGGAATATAAATCTTTTAGATTTTAAAATGTTTGCGTAACGAGAAGCACACCAAACGATAACCATTATTTCGTAAAAGGAATGACATAAACACCTAGAGAGAAAGAGAAAAAATAGTACCAGTGTGTTTTTGACAGTAAACGTTTTCTTTTTCATATTACGAAGCAAGGTCAAACTAAAGAGCTGACTTTTTTCTGTGACAGTGAGGACATGAGCCACTCACAGCAATGACATGACTCACTAATAGTAATAAGAATAATATCACTAATAGTAATAAGAATAAGAATAATAACAATAATAATGGCATTTATATAGAGCACATATCCACACTCTACAGCATGCTTTATGCGCTTTACAACCACTTTTACCCCAGCAGACCCTAGTACTCTCAGAAACATTCTCTGCTTCCTGGGAAGCATACAGTGCTTCCTGGGTAGCATACAGTGCAAGCTGCGAATTTCACGCGCTCAAACAATAACAAACTGAGAGATCTTTCGCAGTCCATAGCCGGGTACCCATTCCCACCAGGGTGAAGTGAGAAAAATTCGTGTACAAAAAAAAACCTTTCTCATGAACACGATGTTGGGGCCCTGACGGAATTCGAACCGACGACCTTACGATTGCCGGTCAGAGAGCCTAACCACTACGCCACCAACGTCACTACCCAACACATGTTGTTGTCGTCGCCCCACACAAACAGGACCAGGTTCCTGTCCAGGACTCTCTCTATGAGCGCCAGGTCTTGGAGCAGGACCTCGATCCCATCAACCTTGAGGTCTCGGAGCCGCCGGATCATGTGCGGGTCGTTGTTGTCGTCGCCCCACACAAACAGGACCTGCATAAGGTTATATGAGCGCCAGAAGATTAGAGGTGTTACAAGAGAGTAACAAACATAAAAAAGAAGAAGGGAAGAACAACACACATTTTTAAAAAAATTTTTTGGGTAGAGGTTTTACAGCACTCCCAACTGCATAAGGTTATATGAGCGCCAGAAGATTAGAGGTGTTACAAGAGAGTAACAAACATAAAAAAGAAGAAGGGGAGATAAAGACGATAGACGTTTTTTTAGTTTAGTTTTAGTAGAGGGTTTTACAGCGCTCGCAACTGCATAAGGTCATATGAGCGCCAGAAGATTAGAGGTGTTACAAGAGAGTAACAAACATAAAAAAGAAGAAGGGGAGATAAAGACGATAGACGTTTTTTTAGTTTAGTTTTAGTAGAGGGTTTTACAGCGCTCGCAACTGCATAAGGTCATATGAGCGCCAGAAGATTAGAGGTGTTACAAGAGAGTAACAAACACAAAAAAGAAGGAGGGGAGATAAGGACGATAGATGTTTGATAGGAAAGAAAGAGCAAACCACACCAGAGCACCCGCCAACCACTCACTTAGATTAGTTTAGTAGAGGTTTTCGGCGCATAAGGTCATATGATCAAAATAGTTTTGAGTAAATATGAATAATAATAATAATAATAGTAAATGACAGTAATAATAACAAAAAAATAACAATAATAGTATATAGATAGCAAAGATAGCAAATACCGGTATCTACTCTACAAGATGTTTTATGACCTTTGCATTTTTTGAGTGAGGAGAAGCACATCGAATGACAACCATCATTTCGTGCAAGTAAAAAGTTTTAGTTTAGTTTAGTTTTAGTAGAGTTTTTAAGGTGCTCACAACTGCATATGGTCATATGAGCGCCAAGGGGTGGATGTCAACAGAGAAGTCCTTACAGGGAATCAGACTTATTCTGCTCACCTCTCTAGTTTCAACAACACAAAGTCTGCTTCGACTATCAGGCACCTCGGAAATAGCGGGTCACAAGAGTGTGACAAACATACAAAAGAAATAAAGGAAAATGACGATAGTAAGGAATAGGAAAGAAAAAGCAGCAATTCCCTGTTGCAGTTCAGGCACAGTTATGAGCATGACATTGATGAATCAGCCCAGGGGAGGTTGTTGGAACTGTCTCAAGTACTCACCAGCAGATGCTCGGACAGGGCAAAACTGATGCCCTTACTGAAGGTGCTGGCCCGGTAGTCTCTGTACTGCACGTACACCTTGGTCTGGCCCTGGTGCAGCAACATCACGGGGTACTTGTTCTGCTTCAGCTGCAGGCTGGGCACGGGGAAAACAAAACAAGAAAGAAAAAAAAAATCAGGTTAGCTTACCGGACCAAATAAATTACTTAGAATGAAAGCAGCAAGTTAAGTTTTAGTAGAGGTTTTACGGCGCTCGCACCTGCATAAAATCATATGAGCGCAAGAAGATTAGAGGCGTTACAAGAGAGTAACAAACATAAAAAAGAAGAAGGGGAGATAAGGACGAAATATGTTTTATAGGAAAGAAAAAGCAAAACCACACCAGAGCACCCGCCAACCACCCACTGAAAGCAGCAAAAACAAGAATTTGAATAGCTGATCACTGAAGGCGAAGCTAGGTTGACTTTCCCCCTCTTCTCCCTTGCCCATCTCTTTATTTCTATCTGGAGTCTTTCTCCACCCATCCTTTTTCGTTTTGTTTTCTTTTCGTATTTCATCTCTCTTTCAACCATTCTCTATTCTCTTATTTTTCCAATTCTGCAATCCCCCCCCCCCCCCCCCTCATCTTTTTAAGTGAGAGTCCATATCCATAGTTTAAAAAGTTAAGACCTATTCTATCAAATCTTTTCTAGCAAAAAAATGTGTCATGGAACATGAGAATATCCTGAGTGCCTAAAGATTAAAATAATTTTTCTTAAAATCCCATACATGCCCACAAAACAAGTTTTGCAACTTCTCACTTGAACTATCAGAAAAGTATAAAAATCAGAGTCTTCCAGTCTACCCCTGAGTTGATATGGTAGCTTTTAAGGACAAGTGGGCTAACCCAGACTTTGGGGGTTTCCTGAAATCTTGACCTACACCAAAAGTGGGCATTGCCCTACCTATAGGAGAAGTTTGGTTTCATAGGTGTGTATATTTGTTTGGTTATAAAATAAAGAAAACTCTCCTTGTCTTTTAAACAAACTGAACAAGGTGCAAAAACTTTACCTTCGATTTTCTCAAAACAGCATTTTTCGGGACAGCCCCCTTGTGCTTAAAAGTGACCATATACAGTCTCCAACCACTACTGATCCAAGAAAATCCCCAGTACAAACGACCGTTTCCCCACTTTTCCCCCTGCATTGTCTACTATAATATGTGAGGCAGCACAGTGAAATCAGGTGCTCGTCAAAATAATGAAAGTAAAGAAACTTACACTTTTCTGCTGGTTTGGCCATTTTTATTGAAATTGTGTTTTATAGATCAACACCTTCCACGTCCACTCGAAAACCCTTTCAGTGTGAATTATATTGAAAAACGTTGATAAAAGGCATAAAATATGTAAATTGTCCGTTTCCATGGACTCTGAGGCTTTGTAAATAACCAAACTTTGGCCGCCATTTACTCATTAATTTTACCTCTGAAACCAAGCGACGCCCCCTCATTTAACTGCAAATATCTTGACATTTACTCAAGATAAACGGGTACTTCTTTCATCGAAAGCAAGTCAAATGAACACGTTTTAAGGTGATACCAATAACTCCACAAGCCAAAAAATTGACGAGCTCCTGATTCCACCGCGCCGTGACACATATTAAAACGACACTGTCCAAGACATCCACCTGTCTAAGACAACCACATTTCTCCCCCACAAGGGTTGTGCGGCCTTCTCGGACATTTCTGACCGTACTTACAACAAAAAAAAGGGTGAAATGGTATGGGTATAATGCCCCTATCAAGACTATTAGTTTATTTAAGGGGCGGGACCTCCTAGTTTAACGTCCGTCTCCAATAGGACCGAGCCAAGTAGGAATTTCGTGTAAAGTGCCTTTCCCAAGGACAAAACGTCGGACCGAGCTGAGGCTCAAACCCCCGAACCCGCGATCTCACGATTACGAGTCTGGTAGCCTAACCACTAGGCCACCGACGCCACTACCGTACTTACAGGATACAGATGTCGGGATCAAAACTGGAGAAGACGATTTTCCGGGTTCCCGCACACTTAAACACATCTTCCAGGATAACGTTAACAGTCTCGTTGACGTCCAGGTAGTTTTCCATCTCCCAAACACCATTCTGAAAGTGAGAGATAGATAGCAACAGTGTATTATAAAAATATAGCGATGCAAAAATGAACTCTAAGACAGAATTTCGTATTAAAAAGAGATAGATAGCAACGGTTTATAATAAAAATATAGCGATGCAAAAACAAACTCTAAGACAGAATTTCGTATGAAAATTTAGTTGTTTTGGATCCTACATCCTGAGGTTCTTTGACACTATTGGTGTTGTTCTTGTTTTAAGTCCAGTGGCCTTTGAGCATTGTTGGTTTGAGTCAAGGTTTTACGGCGCTCGCAACTGCATAAGGTCATATGAGCTAAGGGGATGGATGTCAACAGAGAAGTCCTTACAGGGGATCAGACTTACTCTGCTCACCTCTCAAGCTTCAACAGCACAAAGT